GCGCCTATCAGAGATTCTTGACGGAGAAGCTTCGTGGCTGTCGTGAGTCACTCGTAAGTCGTACTATGGCCGATGAATGAACTCAAAACATGGATAAATATTCCATAACCTATTTGTTGTCAAGACTGAAAACCTTCCTGCGATGCACAATGATATTGTGACAATATCGGCTAGGTTTACAACAAAGAGTTCGCCGAGTTATACTTCACTTTGTATTCTAGTTAACTGGGTCTACTATTCTGGGTCGAACGTAAGCAAAAGCCCGGGTGGCCCTTTAAGGAAGGAAATAAGATACTTCACCCCCGCCTTCCCCACCCAGCAAGGGGTTGCTGAGCCATAGAGCGTATGCGAGTTACGTAATACCGCACTTATCAATAGTTGCGGCCGGTCCCGTGGGTGGTTTTCGGGTCAAAAGTGAGTAAACTTCTGGGAAGAGTCTGAGATGGAATCTCCGCAGACCTTCGGCCCCCTGTCCAATATCAAGCTCCCAGGACCTGCCGCAATCGACCCAACGGTTGGGTCCCAACCCTAACATACCTCCGAATGCGTAGAATTCGTTGATCTACATGTCTGCGATCGAATGCTTAGCAAATGCTAATGTTGCTGAACTGTCCTAGATTTCATCCTTCGACCCTCAACCAAAAAAACTACAACGAGAACTTGATATATCAGTAATAAACAGTGACACTAAAGGTCTCCGGTCTACTGTAGACCGGAGGGGAACCAGCACGGCCATAGGCCGTGCTAACGAGGCCCAGGAAACGTGGAATTACAGTGGATATGTTTTTCACTAGTGTTCTTCACATCACTAGGATGAAACTCCACTGTCGTGAGGTTGAAATTGAGTGAGGTTAAAATTAGTATTATAACAGTTTTCCCGCAGATTCAATTATGACTTTTGGTGGAGTCCACGATTTCACCCACGTCTGCATCGTAACCGATTTGTTCGAAACAGATCTAGGAGCGCTTCTGAAGACGAAACAAAATCTCACAAAGGTAATTCTAGAAACTGTTGTTTCCTATGAAAATTCACATATGATTTTGGGTGAAATTAACATCAATTTGCCGAACTTTTCTTGAAGGATTTCTACTTGAAAATTTTCTTATAACTTAGGTTAAAATTATCATTAGTTCCCCAAAATTCCCTTGAAGAATTTTCGCTCTATTATGAAAATTCTAACATTAGGGTGAAAACCAATGCTTTTTTTTCGTTCAGGAGCAATGTATTTTTTTCCTCTACCAAGTGCTACATGGTGTTAAGTAATATATCAATACTCGTGTAGGAGTAATTGATATGAATTTCAGATACTTTTACTCAGCTGGAGTCGTCCATAGAGATTTGAAACCGAGAAATTTATTGGTGAATTTCAATTATTATTATTTCAGTTATTATTTTTATGTTTTTGTTTAGATTGTCGAAGTTGATACTAGCAGATCGGGAAGGGTTTGATATGATACCAATGA